GAATCGTACACGCATTGAAATGTCTTGAGCACTTTTGGCTAGCTTTATGTCTATATAGAATGCAAGCTCTGGTGATTTTTTCCAAACTTAAAAAAAACGCTAACAGCAATGGTGTTTCTGTGCGAAAAAGCGACAAACACTCAAGTGCGGTAAGAGTGAACATACATGTACATCCTTCTCTACACCAACATTTTTATCGCTATGTTACATACCAAAGAACTCTTTATATTGTTAATATCGAGTCGGTAAAACAAGTGACCCTACAAGTGAGACTAAAAGGAAAGGATACACAAAATACAGAGTGTACTAGCGCTTTGCTATGACAGTCTTATTTACCGAATAGAGCATTGGACATCCTAAGAATTATAAGCTACTGTATGCAGCAGTATGCAGATATACGTTGGTGAAGTCGTGAAGTACCAGCCTATATTTATTAATATTCAATAAAAAGACAAGCGCAAGTCAAAATCAACGATACGTGTACAGGTAGTGTTTTTGCGGAATCTGCAGTGTTAATTCTTTGTTGTGCTATAATGTTTAGTGATAGATTGTTAGATAAATGCTATGTTGCAGGTCAAGGGTTACTTACGACCAAGTGTTTCACAGATCACACAGAAAGCTTGTAGATCATCACAAGGAAAATCTCTCCAATGATTGGAGATATTTGGTGAAGTTGATATTTCTCTTTCCATGCGAACACAGTCTGCATCGCCGGGCGATTCGTTGGGTTCAATGATTTTGTTGGATGGATCCGATACATCATATGCCCAGTAGTTGTAGGCTCCCAATAATTCCCCATCTATCCACCTGTGGGCGCCCTCATTGTCCCGATCTGTCAGTCCAATCCAGCAGGAGGCCGGGGGTGCGACGCTGTTCCGCAGAGCAATAATGTGATCGTTGATCCCTTGGTCTTTTGGCATAGCCACCCGGGCATTCAGACTTGCGCAATGCGCTTCCGCCGCTGGGAATGTTAGTTGAGCGATGAATACTTGATAGCATCTGGCACCGTAGGGGCTCCATCCTGCTGGGCAGCTGACTGTGTTTTAGGGAAAATAGGAGAAAGAAGGTCAATCAAGTCCAATATGAGCTATATACTTTTAACGTAGTACGTACTTGAGATTTCAGTAAGATAAAAATAAGTGTCCATAGGCGACAATTCTCCGTGAAGTTTTATATTTTGCAAATATATATGCAAAGAACCGGTTCACGGATCGTCGTGATTTTTGGTATGCAGGTAGCTTACGTGATGCTTGATATAATTATGTGACAATTATGCAAATATGGATGTAATTTGCATGATTTATGGGGAAATTCTATAAATCAGCTGCATTCCATGATAGGACAATTGAAGCTTGTGGGATTGGTAATTGAAAACCAGAGAAACACAGGCAGATATTGATTATGTAAATGAAGACTTAATTTGCATGATTAATGAGAAAATGTTATAATTCTGTAATGATAAATGCCTGGAATTTCATACTTGAGGTATTTGAAACTTCAATGAAGGTGAACATTATTAAACATAATGTATTCAAATCAGTACATCATTTGCATAATTTACGAGGTTTGTTCATATAAGACTTTCTTTTGGTTAAGAATATGATAAACTGATATGTAGTTATGAAAATGAGGATCCTATTTGTTAAATCAGGGGGAAAATCTATAATTTGTCAGTCATAAAGATTAACATCATTTGGCGAAGGTATGACATCGGGGAACTCTAGTTTGATAAGGTATTGTAGTAGTAGCAAACCAGTCACAATCACAGTCACAAACAAGTCACAATCCAAACAGATACTCGCAAGCGATTATACACCTAATATATGCTTCCAAAACCTCGCCTACCACACAGCTACTTAAGCTACGGCCTATTCCACAGGATTCTAGAAATAGGGGTGTTTCTGAAATATGAATTTACCTCAATATAAAAACTGCTATGAAAAGAAAAGAAAACCTATACCTTGTAACATGTGTAAGTTACTTAAATATGCATATATTATGTTAATATAGAGGTAATTTGCATATTCAATGAAGACATGTTGACTTGAAATA